CGTGGTTTTAGGTGCCTCCCAGTCATCCAAACAGTAACAATGGACCACACAGGACACCCACTTCTCTTCACCTTGGGAAAAGCAGGGAGGGGAGGAGGGAGTGGGGAGAGGAGTCAGGGGCTTTTTTTTTTCCCGGGCAACCTCAGGACCAGGGTTCTTCAGGTAAAACATAGGGCCTAAATAGAAGGCCTCGCGCCTATCGCCAGGCCTAAGGTTTCCTTTCACAGATTTTTGAGCCCAGGAGGCCCTGTCCTCAGACTTCCTTTTCGGTGTTGCACCTGCGGTGAGGGTCCTGGGTCTGTGCCAGGGCCTGCTGCATGTGAGGGAGAGGCTGCCACAGAGTAACACCACCGAACAGCTACAGTTTCTACCCGACTTCCTTCCCCAGAGCCCAGGTTATGGGAGAAATCAGTCCTCTGGGCTCAAGGGTAGAGAGAGCCCTTCCCTGTCGGCAGGGTGAGGCACTGGTTTCGTTCTCAGCTGCGAAAACAAAGTGTCCTTGCTGCGCATGGCCATGCCCTCAACCAAAGCGCCACTCTCAGAGATGGCTCAGTGGGTTGAAACTGTCGCCAAAGGAAAGGTTAAAAAAAAAAATCCCCCTTTGAAATGTTGGTGTGACTACCCATGAATCACTTCGGGCATGAGGGGGTGGGGTGAGGTGGAGCTGTGCAGGCCAGCCCTTAGCTTCTCCGGGCCTTGGGACACCCCTCTTCTCCTCTAGCCCATGGCCTGGCTCTTGACCACTCCTGAGCTTCCAGGAGACCCAGGAATTCCCCTCTTGTCTGTGACTTTTTCCTCTGCTTCCCTCGCTCCAGGGAGTCCCGCTCGTCTCCTCATTGCTCTCTCACCTTGTAGCCACAGGTCATGAAAGTGAACCCCAACAGCATCTTTACATCCAATATCCAATGTCACAAAAGTGCTACTTAAGTTATTCACTGTTTACAGTGGCCACAAAGACCTCCCAGTCACCCCCAAAACATCCACAAGGGGCCACACTGGAGTCCCCAGAAAGGGCTGTGGGCCAAATGAAATGGAAAATGTGTGTCCAAAGAGAAAGGTGATGGGTTCTCCTGAGAGGCGGGTGAGGGGATGTCCAGGAAGAACCTGGTGATGCTCACCTACTAACCTGAGCTGCGATCTAATCCTCGCTTGATGTCCTGTGAGCTCCCTATCCCTCCCTCCGAAGGACCCCAAGTCCAACGCCATTCAGCCACAACACAGAGACATGTAATAACCGTTTTCTTTTATTGTACTTAGAAGACATCCCGGGATGGGGTGCTCCGTGAGACAGAGGGTGAACCTGGAGGTCTCCCTGGCCTCGGAGGAGTTTTCTGTCTCCAGCCCAGGTTGGGCCCTTCTTTCTCCTGGCTCTGAAGTCTGCGCAGGTCCACAGGAGCCACCGCCACCACTAATTGGCCTCTCGGTACTTGTGCATCAGATCACTGACATCAGAGGTTTCCACTTTCACCCAACCATCTTCCTTCATGTGGTACACTGTGAGCAGTGGAGAAAAGAGTATGGCGTCAACCCTGTCTTCAGTGGCGTGGCGTGGATGGCAGCAGAGACTTACATGGGCATTCGCACCCCCCCCATACCCCCCCCCCCCACACACACACACACACGAGCTGAAAACCCTTTTCTGGGATCTGAAAATCTCCCTCGCCCCTGAGTCTCCCCAGCCTACATCTCCGCCTTCTCCCAGGTGTTTGGGGGAAGCACCTGTCTCTTACTATTGACAACGCCTCCAGAATAGCAGTCTCTGTGGGTGGCATGCACAATAGCCCTGCGGCCAAGGTCGTAGGCCTCTTCAGGACTGAGGTCCTGCCGGTAGCCACTGTCCATCACCCCATATGCGTAGGTGTTCCCGCTGCCCGTGGAGAACATTTGTCCTGAGAGCCTAGTCCCGTTTTCATCCACGTAGTAGAGTCCTGGACCCTAGAAGATGGGATGCCGTCCTGAGTTAAATTGGGAAATGGTTTGTGGATAATGTAGACTCAAGTGTGCCTGGCAAAGAGTGGGCAGCATAGCGGTACTGCCACGGAAATGTTGCAATTAAGACAGAACACTTGGGTAAACATCAAAACCTGGTGTTTTGGTGGGGGAGGGTAGTGCTCGGTGGGTAAGGGACAGCTCACCCCGGGTTGGGGGTGGGGAGCTCAGGCTCAGGCCACCCACCTTCTTGTCCCAGCCACAGACCATGCTGCCCATGGAGAGGCCCATGCCCCGGTACTGGAGCATCATGTTGGAAAGCAGCTTGGAGGCTGCAGACACGGAGATGCGCTCCCCATTCCGCAGATAGTACAGCCTAGGGGAGGAGGAAGGAGGCTTCAGGAGAGGCAAGACAGGGTTGTGGAGATGACTGCTTGCAAGGTTTGTACTGGCACCATGATGGGAGAATGAGGGAGAAATTTGGAGTTTACCATACCTGAACTACATTTTTAAAAGCCTAGTAAAGAACACCATCCTACAGGGTTGACAGTGTCCACATTAAATAATTAATAGATTACCTGGCTTATAAGCAGGGGTGGGGACTAAGATTTGGGGGATTTTTAATCGCACAAAGTTTTTTTTTTAATCCCTTATTTGCGCTAGGGTGGATCTCTGGGGATAAGGGGTCTGCAAGACTGAGGATTAAACAAAGGGGATGAGGATATCTGCCCACCTGCATTCCTTGGCCAACAGCCGTTCCCAGTACTGACAGTCAGCTGCACAGCCAGACATGGTGCCAAGCAGGTAAGGGTTAATCTCGATCACCTTGTTCACCCTTAAGGTGCCTAGAAGAGTTTGGGATCAAAGGAAATGAGCCACAGCGCTCCAACCCCACAGCTGCTCTGTCCTAACTGGTGTGCAGGCCTCAGGCTAAGAGAACAGCACCAAGACCCAAGCTGCAGAGCTCACATACTCACTGATGTAAGTCCCCGCAGAGGCCCGGGAGTCCACGGCCACGATGACTCCATGCTGGAACTTGAAGGCTAGTGTGGTTGTGCCATGGGCCATCTCAATCTGAACATTCCTTTCTTGATCACCACCAAAGGACCTCAGGAAGTCCGTGGGCTAAGGGGCAAGATGCAGAAAGGTAGCATTTCCCAGGCAGGTTTTCAGAGAGCAGTGGCTGAGGAAGGGTCTCCGCATTCTCTAGCCACCAATAGCCAGACTCTAGATGGCTGGAGGAAAGGCAGGAGGCATGGCTACCGCCTTTCTGGTTTCCAGTACAAGGGAACAAAGGTCATGGTAACTGACTTCAAGGTGTCTTTGCCCAAGCATGGCTCCTTCAGTTCTCACGAAGCACATTTCATTAACGTATTCTCATTTTACAGATGAGAGGTTTGAGACCTAGACTGCCTAACGTGTTCTAGGACACACGGGTGAGTTGTTGCGGCCAGGTTAGCCACCCAAGTTCATGGGTCTTCCAAGGCATGAGTCTGTGAAGGCGGTGATTTGTGCACTGTCTTGGGAAGGGTAACCCACCTTCTCTCTGGGTCTCACTGTCTCTCTCTGAGTCTGTTTCTCTGTCTCTGTCTCTTTGTCTCTCCCTCTCTCCCTCCCTCCTCCCCCCTCCTTCCCTCTCTTCCCTGTCTTCATCTCCACGTGGGTTCTTTAGGGCTGGCCTGGATGCTGCTCTCCTGGACAGTCCCTCCAGGCTTCCTCAGCCCCTCAGACCCAGGCAGACCCTCCTTCCTCCGCCTCCCTCTGGCATCTCTCAAGGGTCCCTACAATTCTCACCTGCATCCCCCGGGGAAGTGCGAGCTCCGGAGCTTGCACAGAGCGGGGGGGGAGCCATACCCTCTTTCTGCACCCAGGGCAGCCCACTCGGGCCGCTGCCCCCGAGCGCCTCCGCACAGATCCAATAACGCCATGACCGTTCAGCCCCGGAGATCCGTCGACTCTCGGACAAGGAAGTGAAAGCGAAAGCCACAGCACCGAGGGGAGGGAACCAGAACACCCCCCCCCCCCCCATCTCCTGCCCTTTCCTAGAAGAGCCCAATCAATGGGTGTCTGAACTAAGAATGTCATACTGGGGGCGAGTTTCCCTGCTGCTGGTCGGTGAATCCAGCTAGAGAACGGGCTGTGGGGTGGAAGAAGAGGTGTCCGCGCCTTCAGAGGCCGCCTAGCAGCGGGGTGCGTGAGAACGCACCAGCCAGCATCCTCTGGGAACAGGACCTTGTCCAGTCCTCTCCTAAAGAGAGAATTATCGCTCCTAAAGAGCGTGCGTCCCAGGTTCTGCCTGGGGACCCGGCAGCATTCAAATGAGCATCATTTTAGAGAAACTGGAAAATACGATAAATGGGCGCGCGGGGTCTTTAGGTCCTGGGAGGACGGGGATGGGGGTGGGAAGACACCCCAGTGCGTGAGGAAAGGCCATTCAATGGGAGGGCGCAGTTAGGGTCTTTCCCTGTGGCCCCTCCAAGGGCCCCTCCCGGTTCAGCAGTCTCACCACCCTGAGGCCACCCACGAGAAGGCTCCCTTCTGCCCGGGCTGCTCGCCAGGCTCAGGTCTGAGCTGAGCGCTCCTTCCTCGTATCCTTCTAAACCCCGCCTCCCTTTGCAACCTGAGCGGACCTCATCTGCCCAGCAACTGCTGGCGTCACATCTGCCTGGCCCTCTCTGAATGGAAGGGATTTACTAGATAATCCTACTGGTTTCTTTGAGATTATCCCTGGCGTGTGCGGCTGAGGAGCCGGGGGAGAGGATCTGAAAGGATCAGAGAAGACGGGGTGTGGCGCCCTGGCTTCCCCACCCTCTGCTGAGCTTCCTCCCGCCTCGGCGAGGAAGAGTGGGGCTCTGAGGTGTAGGTGCCATGCCTTGGGGTGCGGGGAGGAAAGGGGTGCCTCCCGGTCCTGCTCAGCACGGGGAGTCCGGTGGCTGAGAAAATAAAAGGAGACGCTGGGACCCAATAGTAAAACATAGAATTCTGAAGAAGTTCTGAAGAAGGGCTGTGTGGGGGGAAGAGCCCTGGCTAACTTGGCGAGACGTTTGTGGATGAAGAGAAACGGGAGAAGCCACAGTACAAAACACCAGTTTTATTATAAATATCAAGAGCCCACGGGTTATCCATAGGCCAGCCTGTGCCTTCGGTTAGTTACAAGCTGCTCCGTTGTGAGCGTTTCTTCCCCTCGGTTCCATCCCCAACACCGCAGAAACCAGGTTCGTCGGTGCGGTGATACCAGAACAGCACCGGGCGGGGGGGGGGGGGGGGGGGGTGGAGGCAAGAGAATCAAGAGTTCAAGGTCAGCCTGAGGTACCTGAAACCCACTCTAAGGGGCTGGGGCGGAGATAACATTCAAGGTGAATTCCAGGCATCTCCTGGATGTTACATTTTATCTTGTAATCAATACCTCAGTTCCTTAACTGAGCCTGGCCAATGCGTGTGGCAATTTCTTTGCTCCCAGGTTCTCCGCCACACCTAGCAGGGGACAGTGCAGGAGGGCAGTGCGGCGCAGATGCAGAGGCCTGTCAGTCTGTCAGTCTGAAGGAGCCACAAGAGCCTCCACCATGGCCCGATAGCACCCTCCGCTCCTCTCCGTGAGCTGCAGGTGGGTGCCCTGCTCGCAAACGGAGCCTTCTTTGAGAAACAGGATGTGGTGAGCCTGCTCCACCAGGCTGAGCTGCTGAGTGATGAGCAGCACGGTTGGAGAAGCCGGCCCCCGGTTCTCGTACAGGAGCCGCTGGACCTGCAGAGACACAGACAGGCCTTCAGGGCTGGGACACACTTGTCACTGGCCAGCAACCCCAAGGGTGCTGGTATCCCTGGTCTGAGTGCTTCTCTCCACACCTTTGTTTTGCTAAGGCCTCTCCACGAGAGATGGCACAGACAGCAAAATCAGGAAGTGGAGGGAACCGAGAACTCGCGTCTACCCATAAGCCGGGAAATTCAATTTTTTTTTTAATTTTTCTTCTTCTTTCTTATTTCACATCCTGACTGCAGTTTTCCCTCTCCTCCCAATCCCTCCCCTCCACTCTCCCCATCCACTCCTCCTCCGTTTCCCTTCAGAAAAGGCCTGGCCTTCCCGGGATATCAACCAAACATGGCATATCAAGTTGCAATAAGACGACTAGGGTTGCCTTGTCCGGCCTTCATATGTGGGTTTTTTTTTTTTACATTCAAGAATATATATTAATTATGCTTTGAGAATTTCACACATGTGTACAATGAAATATAATCCCCATTTCCCTCCCCCCCACACAGGACCCGCCCCACAGTCCTCTTCCATACTGCATACACATTTTTAATAACCCACTAATAAACTGAAAATCTTTATATTCAATTTGTGTGAAGATGTGTCACTGTGATTGGCTTTAATGAAGAGCTGAATGGCTATTGGCTAGGCAGAAAGAGGCTAGGTGGGACTTCCGGGACAGAGAAGACTCAGAGAGTAGGAAACCAGAGTCTCCAGCGACATGGTAGCTGAGCCACGTAAAAGAAGGTAGATTAAAATATATGGGTTAATTTAAGCTATAAGAACTAGCTAGGAGCAAGCCCAAACTAAGGCCCAGCTTTCATAGTTAATAATAAGTCTCCGAGTCATTTTTTGTGAGCTGACAGCATAAAGAATAATCCGGGTACAGAGGGATGACTCAGCGGTTAAGGCACTGGCTGATCTTCCAGAGGACCCAGGTTTGAGTCCCAGCATTGGTTCACATTGTGAACATTGTGGTTCACAATCACCCGTAACTCCAGTTTCAGGGGATCCAACACCCTCTTGTGACTTCCGAGGGCACTAGGCACTCGTGCAATGTACACACACGTTCAGGCAAAACTCATATACAAAAAATAAATAAATGAAATAAATGCTCATACACATAAAATAAATAAGATACTCATACATAAAATAAATAAATGTTCATACACATAAAATAAATATAAAGAAAACTGTAACTTGGTAACAAAGAACATGAGAATTCAGGCAGATGACTTGGATTTGGATCCACTGCTCAAAGCTGTGTGACTTTTAGGCTAGTCAACCCTTCTTAGTTTTACCATCCACAGACTAAGCAGAGCAAAGGGCTCCTGATGGACGAATGAATAAGTACAAAGGGTGGGATAGCATATCTGAGACACAGTGCAAGTTCAGCCCACATCGACACTGTTACAACAGAGGCTCTTCTCACTGGTTCTGAATGCCCTGGAGAAAAGCTAATGGGAACTGAGAATTCCAAAAATAGGTTTGAACAGTTACATTGTTGGTGTAACTAATGGGATGAGCAACAGAAGCCAGATCCCATGGGAGTGAGACTTTAGGAAGTGTAACCCTGCCCTCCAGAGGTAGCAGCAGAAAGAGTGCCATGAGTCTGTTGTGGAATGCTATTTTAACTGGGCAAAGATGTGTTACATTTGTTTATGCTGTAGAACAGTATTCTAACAATGTGAAGGTGCGTTACATTTGTGTCTGCTGCATTTGTTTAACAATGTAAAGATGTGTTTTTAATTATGTATAGATGTGTTGCGTTTGTTTCACCTTGCCTGCCTAAGGCACCTAATTGGTCTAATAAAAAGGTGAACGGCCAATAGCCAGGCAGAAGAGGGATAGGCGGGGCTAGGCTGGCAGGCAGAAAGAATAAACAGCAGGTGATGGGGGAAGTCCTTCTGTATATATGTTTCTCTTATTGCTTGAGGAATAAAACACTCTCTGGCCAATGAGGCAGGAAGATAGGTGGGACTAGGACCAGGAGAATTCTGGGAAAGGTAGGCAGAGAGAGCCCATCAAACTCAGTTGACATGTAAGAACTGGGAAGAAAGGACGCACCAGACATTCTCCAGTAAGATAAGACCATGTGGAAATGCATAGATTAATAATTAAGACAGAGCTAGCCAGTAAGAAGTCTTAGCCATCAGCCAACAGTTTGATAATATAGGCATCCATGTGTTTATTTGAGGCTGAAGCAGCAGCGGGACCTGGTAGGACAAGAAGCTCCAGCAATAAGCAGGAGGAATCTAGGCTTGAAAAAAGAATGAGAGAGAGAAGAAAGAGGAGAGAATGTAGGAAAAGAAAGGGAGATGCCCAGGGCCAGCCAGGAAGACACAGGAGAAGCAGGAAAAGTAGGATACCAGAAAGAAAAGGTTAAAAGCCCTGAAGCAAAGAGAAACAGGTTAAGTTAAAAGAGCTAGCCAGAAACGAGTCTAAACAGACTGAGTATTCAAAACTAATAAGTCTCGGTGTCATGATTTGGGAGCTGGGTGTCATGATTTGGCAGCCTGCTATATGTCTGAGGCCAGTACGGTCTCAAGCAGAGTTTCAGAGCAGCCATGACTATAACAAGATGATCCCAGAAAGAAGATGAGGACAAGAGGCTCACCCGCAGCTGGTTGTTAGCATCCAGGGCACTGGTGGCATCATCCAAGATAAGCAGGCGTGGCCTTCGAATCAAAGCTCGGGCCAAGGCCACTGCCTGTCGCTGACCCCCTGACAGCTGGTTCCCAGTCTCACCCACCTCTGCAGAGAGAAGAGACCAGCTGAGATGTAGATAAGTGTGTACACAGAGAGAGAGAGAGAGATATGCACATACAAGCGCGAGCGCGCACACACACACACACTCTCTCTCTCTCTCTCTCTCTCTCTCACACACACACACACACACACACACACACACACACACACCAGAGGCAGCTGGAAGGGAGGCCCTGGGAAGATGGATGGAGCTCTGAGGATGTGAATCACAAAATTTCCACTATGAATTGAAATCCAAAGGGCAGGAGGAAGGGAGTAGCAGAGGCAGGGTTATTGGAGTCTGGGGGTGAGACGGAGATACCTGTGTCATAGCCCTGAGGGAGTCCAGAGATGAAATCGTGGGCTCCAGACTCCTTGGCCACAGCTGTGATTTCCTCCATGGTTGGATTCCGGGTCAGGCCATAGGCAATATTTTCTCGAAAACTTCTTCCAAATAGAAGCGGCTCTTGTCGCACCGCAGCCACCTAAGGTGAAATGCGAAGAGCCGCAGGCAGGAAACACAGGAGTGTTATCGTCTAGGGACTATAGACTCACAGGCAAGTGCACACCACACAGTCACCTGTCCTGCATACAGCCCCCACTCTGCCCCTGATTGCCTGCATGCCCCCCCCCCACCTTCTGCAAGAGTTTTCACTGAGAATATTCTCCTGGTTTGGTCTCTCCCCCTCCTCCTCACTTCCTCCTTGCTCACCTGGCGGTGCAGGTAGTGGTGATCAAACTGGACCAGGGGCTGTCCGTCCAGCAACACCCGGCCCCCCGTGGGCTGGTACAGGTTCTGCAGCAGGGCGGCCACGGTACTCTTCCCTGACCCATTGGGTCCCACCAACGCTGTCACCTTTCCGGGGTGCAGCGTGAACGTCAGCCCCTGGAGGCCAGAGAAGCACACGACAAAAGCTCCTTTAGCCTGGAGATTGTCACTGGATAACATGACATATTACATGGGTTACATGACATATTACATGGGTTACATGACACATTGCACAAGAGGAAAAATGAGAGAATACACAGTAGTCCCTGGCCTCTGTACATACGGGCTTCTGGAATGACACCACCGAAGGAGACAAGAGAGATACTGGGGCAAAGGAATGGGAGAGAAGTGATACTGGGGAGTAAAACTGGAGGGCGAAGGCTGGGCACTCCCTCCAGGAAGCAGACATCATACCTGCATCACAAATGGCAGCTGGAGTCACATGTTGCCGTGCTAACTCCTTTGTCACAAGAACTTCCTCTTAAACTTTTTTCAATTTATTTATTTAATTTTATATGTATGACTATTTTCCCAGCATGTATACATCCATGCCATGTTCATGCCTTGTGCCCACAGAAGTCAAAAGAGGGGGTGGGGTGTCCCCTGGAAATGGAGCAGGTGGTTGTGAGCCACCCTGTGCATGCTGGGAACTGAGCTGGGGTGCCCTGCAAGAGCAGCGCATGCTCTTAACCATGGAGCCATCGCTCCAGCCCCAGAACCCTTCTCCCTGAAGCCTTTTCTCTGTATCATTGGAAAACCAAGGCCGTGCTTGGGTTGGGGCAATGTGTAAACACATGGTTCTCATCGGCGCCTTTGAGGGTTAGGAAGGACCTGGGCCGTTGGCAAGAGGATGGAAGGGGTGAAGTTGGGAGGCTGGGATTCAGGATTGGGGGGCCGTACCTGAAGCACCTGGACATCGGGATAGTTTGGATAAGCAAAAGAGACATCTTGGAACTCGACGAGACCTTCCATGTTTAAGGGCGCCAAAGAGCCGCTGAGTGGAGAGCAAGGAGTCCTGTCCAGGTATTCAAATATTTTCTCCGAGGAGCCCACAGCCTTCTGCATCCAGGGATAGCAGGAGAGAAGAGCCTGCATAGTGGAGTGGAGAGTGGGTGTGACCAGGATGGTCTTGGAAAGCAGGTGGGTGGTCCAACCTGCTTGACAGCCCTCAGTGATGTGAAGAGGAGACACAGACAGCAATGGGCAGGCAGAGAGACAGCCGAGTCACTGCGGGGGAGGGGGAGCAGGGCTGGAGATGGAGGGTGGGGTGGGCTCACCTCAACAACATGAGTGAACTGTATCTGGTAGAGAACAAAGGAGACGAGGTCTCCACTGCTGACAGCCCCTCTGACCACCAGCTGCCCGCCGAAGTACAGGATTCCCACCTTCAGCAGCATCCCCGAGATCTACGGAGGGAGGGAGAACATGACATAAAATGGACTGGAATGATCACAAGTAAAGTCCATTCTCCCAGACATGAAAGACAGCAGAAAGGAGGGATCGAGGGTCAGACTTGAACAACAGCTCAGGGGGTCCTCCATGACCTCATCACAATTTTAAGGTGTGTGTGTGTGTGTGTGCGTGTGTGTGTGTGTGTGTGTGTGTGTGTGTGTGTGTGCACATGAGTGTAGGTGCCCACAGAGGCCAGAAGAGGGCATCAGACCCCCAGGAACTACAGCTGCAGGCAGTTGTGAGCTGCCCTACATAAGTGTTGGTCATCTGGAAAAGCAGTCTATGCTCTTTTTTGTTTTGCTTTCTTTTTCGAGACAGGGTTTCTCCGTGTAGCTCTGGCTGTCCTGGAACTTGCTGTCCTCAAACTCACAGAGATCTGCCTACCTCTGCCTCCCAAGTGCTGGGATTAAAGAAGTGTGTGCATAATGGCTGAGCCATCATATAGTCCTCACATCAAGAGCCTCTGCAAAGGAGTTTCCCCACCCCCACCTCACCCCACCCCTAGGGGAGAGCTCGAACATGGCTTATTATTCCTTTCTTGTTGCTGTTTTGCTTTTTTTATTGACTTTTTAAAACCTACATTTATTTACTTGTTTATATGTGAGTGGGTGCTATGGTGCACTTTGTGGGGGTCAGAGGATAACTCTCAGGGGTCAATTATCTCCTTCTGTCATGTGGGTTCCAGAGGTGGAACTCAGGTCATCAGGTTTGGCAGCAGGCATCTTTAGCCGGGTGGTGGTGGTGCACACCTTTAATCCCAGCACTTGGGAGGCAGAGGCAGGTGGATCTCTGTGAGTTCGAGACCAGCCTGGTCTACAAGAGCTAGTTCCAGGACAGCCTCCAAAGCCACAGAGAAACCCTGTCTTGAAAAACCAAAACAAACAAGCAATCAAGCAGGCATCTTTACCTCCTGAGCCACCTCACAGCCCTCACACCCCACATCATGGCCTGTGACGTCTGAGAACTCACAGCAATCCTCCTGCCTCGGCCTGAGTACTGGGATTACAGATGTGAACCAACACACCAGTTTTTACTCACAGCGTGAGAAAAAGGTAATGTGTACGTGGTTACACAGCTGGTTGACGGCGGGATGGAGCCAGGAACCTCTAGTGGCTACTTTCTAGTTCTCTCTATGGCATTATCACAGATGGCCCTGGCCGCTGGCCCCTGGCCCTTCTCATGGCTCCCACTAGCTCATCCACACAGTGCCAGCATGAAACACACACAGTGCAGAAATGTGTGGCTTTCTGAGAGGCAAAGGAAAGACCTGGAGCTCGGAGAGGGGTGTCTCTCTAACACACAGGTCGAGTGGACTTTGTGTGCCTCTGTGGAAGGATGCTTCCCAGCATAACAAAACATGGAGGGAACTAAGGACAGAGAGCAGAGTGACTGAACACCCTGAGCCACTCCTCCCCACTGGAGCAGGAGCAGAAGTAGGGTTGGGAAACAGTAAGATGAAGGCGAGGCAGTGGGACAAAGGAGTGGGCATTCACCCCCAGGCACTCACACTTGTGGTCCAGACTTCGACTACATAGGCCAAGGCCCCCTTCTTGTTGAGTGTCTTCATTTCCTCCAGTTTCTGCCTAAACTTCTGGGCCTCTCCCTCCTCGTTGGCAAAGCTCCGCACTGTAGGCATGGCTGACAGGGCCTCAATGGCCACCTGCGTGGACTTTGCTAGAGACTCCTGCACCTTCATTTCCAGTGACTGTGGGGAGACAAGGGCCAGAGACATCACACAGGTGTGCAAGTGAGAAAGAATGCCAATACCTAGGTTAGCTACAGGAGATTGGAGTCAAGAGCCAGAGGGACGGGGGAAGAGGAAGGGTCTACAGCCGGACTTCTAGGTAAAAGATGTGTGGAGTAAACTAATTCGGTTTCTGTGATATTGATCTTTATTTCTACGTCTCTGTGTGCATCGTGTGTGTACAGGTGTCTGTGGAGACCAGAAGAGGGCCTCAAACTACAGACCATTGTGAGCCGCCTGGTGTGGGTGCTGGGAGACCAAACTCAGGTCCTCTGGGGGAGCAGCCAGCACTCTTAGCCCTGAACTGCCCCTCCAACCTGAGACGCGATTCATAGGGGCAGACTGTGGCCAGAAGTTAGACGAGAAGGCAGAGGACACGGCTGTGAAAGCAGGGCCGTGTGGGACAGGGGCTCAGGATGATGGAGAAGCAGTGGAAAGCCGCACAGGATGCAGTCGACCCTGAGAACATACCTGGTACACTTTTCCCAGCTTCTGGGGCAGAAGGAAAAGCAGGGGCAGGGTGGCCAGGGTGACCACAGTGAGGTACAGTGACCCCCAAAACATGAACGCCAGGAGACACAGGCCTCTCCCCAGGTACCACATCAGCAGGTTCAGCTTGTCACTAATAGACTCACACACCTTGGATGTATCCTCGGTCACCCGAGACGTAATGGAGCCTGCCACATTGAGGACAAGAGAGAGAGTGAGTTCACAGAGACAAGGGGAGCTAAAGGACAACAGGGTGCCATGGTGGGTGTGTCAGCACAAGACCCTGAGGAGGCTGCAGCCAGCAGGGGTAGGAGCCTGCGTGGGAGAGGGAATTTCAGTGCAGGGACAGAGAAAGTTCCGGCAGACCTGTGTCAGCCTATGAAGAAGTTGATAGCTGGGTGTGGCGGCACACACCTTTAATCCCAACACTCTGGCGGTGGGGAGCAGAGGCAGTCAAGGCCAGCCTGCTCTACATAGTGAGTTCCAGGCCAGCCAAGGCTACACGGTGAATTTCTAGTTCCCTGAACACATTCGGCTTCTCAAAGACCATGTATATGCTGTGTTCTGACACCAGTCATCCAGTAGACATAGAGAGAAGGGAGGCTGCTGCCAAGAAATTGGAGGCCCTGATGTTGGGGTCTAACCCCAGGGTGTCTGCCTATGCAGGTCTCTTTTTAAATGAGGCAGTGGGACGTCACAGTCGAGGTTTCTATCTGTGAGGAATTTTGAATGCACACACTATTTTTCTTAGTAAAGAGGACAATTCCTTGGGCCATGAATAAGGAGGCTTGGGAGGTTGCTCAGCTGGTAGTTTTTGCCTGACATCCAGGTAGCCCTGGGTTTTAAGACAGGATCTCATGTAACCTAGGCTGGCCTCAGATTGGCTTTGTGGATGAATGACTTTGAACTTCAACCTCTATCCCCTGCCCCCATCTCCCAAGTGCTGGGATTGCCACACCCCATTTATACGGTGCTGGGGGTTGAACCTAGGCATGTGTGTACATGTTTATAGGGGGGGCAGTCGAGAGTGTGTATGGAGATATATATATTATATTAGTATACAAATGAGAAAGTTTTGTGAGAAACCTGCTGGGTTCTGCAGGAAAAACCCCGTCTCCTGGTGAAGGACAGCCCGAAACACCTCTCCATGCGCACGGCTGTGCATGTGGCCCATGGTGAAATTGTAGATGCCATCACCAGCAAACTCCAGCACTGTACTAGAGAGTTGGAGAGATGGACAGAGGGTCAGGTGTGCTCCTTCCTGGGACAGAGTCCCAGCACCCAGTGCCCTCCACTCCGGAGTCCTGTTCCCATCCTCCACACCTGGCTATGGTGAGAATGGACATGAGCCAGATGTTTCGAGCGAAGCTAGGAGCTGTCTTGTCCTGAAGAATCCAGTCGTTGATGCGGCCGGTGAAGAAAGGAATGGCCATTTCCCCTGGGGAGAGAGGGGGGTATCTCAGCCCCAAGCGTTATGAGCAAACCACCTACAATCTCCTCCTGTTCCTCTCCCTTCACCACCGTCCAGAAAGCAGGAGCTGAGCTCGCTGACCCAAGCCTGTTCCGCTACATCAAACTTTTCAAGGACTAATTAAGAAAGATGGTGGAGCCGGTGTTGGCGTACGCCTTTAATCCCGGCACTTGGGAGGCAAAGGCAGGCAGACCTCTGTGAGTTCGAGGCCAGCCTGGTCTACAGAGCGAGTTCCAGGACAGCCAGGGCTACACAGAGAAACCCTGTTTCGAAAACCCAAATAAATAAATAAATAAATAAAATTATTTTAAGAAAGAGAGAGAGAGAGAGAGAGAGAGAGAGAGAGAGAGAGAGAGATGGCGATGTGGAGAGAAACCGTCACACTAGAACTGTGGTGTGAAGTTCTGCCCCCAGGAAGACCCTATCCCCAGCACCCTTGTAAGAGCTCCCAATCAGGCCAGAGGCCTTTCCTTTCTGCCTAAGTTGCCTCCTTTCTGCCCGTTACTGGATTCCTGCTGTCACCTGTGGGCTGCCCTTTCGCCCTGAGTCCCGCTTACCCAGACAGGAGAGGATCAAGAGAACCAGAACCAGGCGGAGGCTCCGCTTCTCCGAACCCAGGAAGCCTAGCAGCCGACGCACCATGTCTCCAGCGCCCCTGCGGCCGCTGGGCGCCCAGAGGCTCCCCAACTTGTGCCATAGGGCGGCTGCGGGCACTGCTGCTACATAACTGAGAACGAACGCGTCGAGGCGACTACCCCAGTGCAGTACTCCAGCGTTGTCACCGTCCCGGAGTGCTCCCCAGGAGGCCAGCTCTCGGAACGAGGCAAGTCCGGGCTGGGCTAAACCCAGCGCTGCTGTCAGCAGCTGCAAAGCGGCCATCCATCCATGGGCTCCCGTGGTGACCCCGAGGATCCCGCGGACGCCCAGCCCCAGGATGGCCCAGCGACTCAGGCCCACAGCCCAGATCCGGAGCAGCGGCACCCCCGGGACCAGCAGGGAAAAGAATCCCGGGAGCCCGGGCCGCAGCAGCAGCCAGTCGGCCAGCAGCAGCAGCCCGGCCGCTAGCCAGGCGAGCGCAGCCATCGAGCGCGCTGCCCGGGGTCTGATCTCAGCCTGGGACTTTCGGCGTCCCCGCTGCCCAGGAGTCTCCGTGGGAGGGAAGAAGGGCGGGCCCGGCGGCGTGCGCGGAAAGTCCCGGACACCGGCTGGAGCTGGTGGCGCTGCTCAGAAGTGCTTGGGTTTAGCGGAAGGAGAAACCGAAAGCCGCGGCCTAATCTCCAGACACGCCCCTTCTGAGACCCGCCTGCCCAGGCTGGGCTGCTCGCGCTGTCCTGGAAGCTGCGGCTGAAGTCAGACCTGAAGTTCTGGCCAGCAGCCCTGGAGTCCCATGCTCTACTCCATCACCCCATTCTCCCCTGGCTTTCCAGCCTTCTTCCCACGCTTGCAAGGATTTTCCCACCCCAGGCCCCGCCCCAGCTTCAGGGCGGGACCCACAGTCGTCACTTGTCTCTGGGCAGATTTGCCCTGATCAGGTTGGCTCCCGGCGCCAAGCGCTCAGTAGAACCGCCCGCCCCTTGCGCGGGGATGGGGCGGGGCATCTGGCGGCAAGCTGAGAGCGCCGCGCGCGGCCGCGGATTGGAAAGCCGAGCTCCGCTCTGTTAGGATGCTGCGGGCAGGAGCACCTACCGCCGGCTTGTTCCGGACGGGAGAAGTCCACACCGGGGTAATGGGTCTGGGGGTGAAAGTCAACGGGTGGGGTGACCAGAGAACCCCCAAGCGCTGGGAAGTGAACCAGGAGACTGAGGCTTAGGAAGCCTGTGGCGCCCATCGTTTGCGCTCCACAGTGAACGTAGGGTATCCCCGCGCACAAGTGTGGTGTCCGGGGGTCTGTGGAGGGACCCGTATGCGAAGCTGGTGGGAAGGTACTTTGGCTCGAGCTGGAAGCCTCTAAGGGAAGTTGCTACAAAGCGCTTTCGCTTTCACTCTGGTCTGCACAGTGGGGGCTGCTGATTAAATCAAGTGGGGGGATTGGGGACCACGCGAAGAGATGCAAAGAAAATGTCCTGGATGAAGCACCTGGGTGAAGATTTTATGAAGACTCGTTGAGAAGGGACGCAGACATCAAACAGCTCCCGGGACAACCTCCACCCTGAGAGAGGACAAGCTCTCTGGGTGGGGACGTGGCAGGGTCCTCCTAGCCCTGGTGCTGCCCTGTTCCCCACTCCCATTCCCATGCTTGCAGGAGAGCTTTGCCCTGGCCTAGGAGCTGGGGAGGAGATGGAAGCTGGCTTCTGCACTCTGAAAGCCACCAACCACACTCCTATGGTTTGGGAGAGCAGCTGCTAGAATGGAGTGGCCATTTCTGGCCTTTCATTAGTGGTCAGTGCATCAGAAAGCAGACTCAGGTGCAGGGTCCCCGGGACATCAGAGTGAGGTGTGGGGTGGCCTGAAACGTTGGGAAAATCTCCCTTTGCTGCCACGAAGCAGCAGGACATAGAAGAGAAGCAATCAAGGGTTCAGAGTGAGACCTGCGTGAGCTTGGAAAACTCATTCTTCTCCTAAGTCGGTTTTCCCAGTGCAGCCACGGGTCTCTACGGTGCCTTTCAGCTCACAGGGCGTGGGGGAAGTAGCCATGTCTTCATCCTAGTCACCTTCCCTTAATCCCCTCCTTGACCTCCAGCAGCCCCTTCGCTCCTGCAGAGAAGCCCCCTAGATGAGACTTCTGCTGTCTCTGAACCATCCTGGCAGCTTCATCCTGCCCCAGCTCCTGGCCGTGTTAGCCACTTGTCCAGTAGCCCTGAGAACCTGCCCCTGATTAAGGGCGCAGGTGGGCGATTCCAAGAAAGCCCCGGCCTTGTGTCACAGCAATTCACCTAGCCATGGAGACAGCCCGATCTCTGGGCCTCCTTCGGTTCTGCTCTCCCTCTCAGGGAAAGGAACCCATGGCCCAGGGAAGCTGGGGCTTCGGGAGGTGATTCCCTATGCTGTACCACAGCCAAGCTGTGCAGGTCCCCTGAAGCGGGATAGAAAAGCACAGAAAACAGGGAAGCTCAGGCCTGAAGGACTGTGTGACCTTGAGTCAGTCACCTGGCGCCACCAGCGTTTCATCTTCCTGAAGATGAAGGGCCAGGCGCTTCTTGCTCTGACATTGCCTGCTCTGTGTCTCTCTGCAGACAACCATCATGGCGGTGGAGTTTGATGGGGGTGTCGTGGTGGGTTCTGATTCCCGGGTGTCGGCAGGGTGAGTATCATTGAAGCGCCGTGTGTGTTGGGAAGGAAGCCAGTGGCCCCAGGTGTACATTTTGTACAGTATGGTAACTATCTGGGAAATGGAGCTGAGCTTTGCAGAAAGCTACCATAACCCGATGCTGGGTAGGGGTTTGGACCTCTGAGTTCACGGGCAAGGATCTGCAGGCCTGAATTTTTTGTAGCTTGGTGGCCGTAAAGAAATCGTGTCTCAGAGGGACAAGGAGTAGGTTGTAGACTCTGCTGTCTGCACTTAGGATAAAAATGGTTCCATCGGGCCGGGTCTCGCCTTTAATTAATCCCAGCACTCGGGAAGCAGAGGCAGGTGGATCTTTGTGAGTTTGAAGCCAGCCGGGTCTACAGAGAGAGTTCCAGGACAGCCTCCAAAGCAATACAGAGAAACCCTGTCTCAAAAAAAAAAAAAAAATGGTTTTGCTAAGCAGGTATCTCACTCATTTGCCACAGTTTGGACTGTATACGCTTGGTCTCCCCTCCTGGCTGTTTTCCCCATACACAATGAGGTGGTAGGATGACCTCATGCTGCTCATGCCATGTTCTGTGGGACTACCATAGCCCCCCCAAGGTGATTAACAGCAAAGGAAAGACAGTAAGAGGCATAGTTTTCTTCTTTTTTACTCTTTTTGAGATGGTTTCTCTGTGTAGCCCTGGCTGTCCTGGAACTCTGTAGGTCAGGCTGGCCTCTGCCTCTCAAGTGCTGGGATTAAAGGTGTGGCTGCCACCACCTGCCTCAGAGGCACATTTTTCTTAACTGGGTGGTCTTTTTGTTGTCATGCCATGAAATATAAGTCTTTATAAGTCTAAATTTGGGGAGTGTAGTGCCTAAAATGGAGTCTCCTGTAGCCCAGGTTGGCCTCAAACGTGATGTAGCTAAGCTGACCTTGGACTCCTGATTCTCCTGCCTGAGTGCCACCGTTCTGTGTGCTGGGCTGGGCTTTGTGCCTGCCAGGCAGGGACTATTGCCACCTGGGCCACATCCCCAGCCCAGCACACCTGACTGTGGTTAGCACGCTGAGGTCCTTAGCTGAGATAATGTCTTTCTGCTTTTTCTGCTCTAACCCAAGCATGGCAAGCCTGGCTATTCTCTTGTCAGACCAACCTGAATGTTTGGCTCCTTCCTCACAGAGAAGCCGTGGTGAACCGAGTGTTTGACAAGCTTTCCCCTCTGCACCAGCGCATCTACTGTGCCCTGTCTGGTTCAGCTGCTGATGCCCAAGCCATAGCCGACATGGCTGCCTACCAGCTGGAGCTGCACGGGTACAAAGCCCCGGGGTCCTGACTCCCCTCCCAGTAAAATTCCTCAGCTGTGCGGCTTTGCCAACTTTGAACTTGCATGGGGATGTCCGGGGGCTTCTGCGGAGAGGAAGTCATGGTAGCGACTCTGTCTCCCTCGTGGAGACTTGGAAAGCTCACATCACTGCCCTGATACAGGAAATCAGGAAGAAGACGGTGATTTGGCCCACTCCTTATATCAGGCAGTCGCCATATGAGAAACCAAGGTCACTGGGAAGGAAGCAAGGCTTATCTGCTTTTGCCCAGGAGGGCAGGGCCCTTAGAGTCAAAGGAGGGGTTTATCAATAGGAGTAGAAAGGTGGAGCCGAGAAAAAGGGGGTGAATAGCTGAAGGCCTCCCACCGGTGACGTGGGACCCCAGCTCCCCTGGGCACACAGGAGAGAAGAGAAGCTGGAGTCCGCGCCAGCTGCGGGTTCAACCGTGATTGGCAGAGAGGGCGATGGTGATGCAAGGGTGGGACTTAGAACACGGTACTGACCCTCCCTCCCCGCATCTTCTTCAGGTTGGAACTGGAGGAGCCGCCCCTTGTTCTGGCAGCTGCAAATGTGGTAAGGAATATCACCTACAAGTACCGAGAGGACTTGTCAGCGCATCTCATGGTGGCTGGTTGGGACCAACGTGAGGGGGGCCAGGTAAGTGTGTCCTTTCCTGGTGTCAGGGTTCCCCACTTCTCTCTTCAGAGACACGGAAGTCGCATGTCATTTTGGCAATGTGATCTAAAGACGGTTCCTCTAAAACGCACACTACAGGCTGGGTGTGGTGATACACGCACACGGGAGGCAGGGGCATGTGGACCTCTGTGAGTTTGAAGAACCTGCTGTAGATAGAGTTCCAGGACAGCCAGGGCTACACAGTGAGACCCCGTTTCAAAACATAAATAAATAAATAAATAAATAAATAAATAAATAAAATGCACACTACAGGCTCAGTTGTGGGAGTCCCTGGTCTTCATTTTGCTTGTCTCCATGGAAGAAATTGTGGGGTGATCCTTGACTCTGACCTGCAGGAACCTCTTTCTAGGTATATGGAACTATGGGAGGAATGCTGATCCGACAGCCTTTTGCCATCGGCGGTTCTGGCAGTACCTACATTTACGGTTATGTGGACTCAGCCTATAAAGCAGGCATGACCCCTGAGGAGTGCAGGCGCTTCACCACAAATGGTAACTGGCCGAGGGAGGGATGGCTGGGGAGGGTTCATGGATACAGAAAGAAAGTAGATTGTGAAGAACCAGAAAAGGCATACAGGGGTGACCATTCGGTGTCCAAGCTTTTAAACGGTATCTACTTAATTATGTGTATGTATGTGAGTGTGTCTGTGTGTGGGTTTGTGCCTGTGTCTGTGGAGGCCAAAGAGGATCCCCTGGAGCTGGAGTTGTAGGTGGTTGTGAGCCACCTGACGTCGGTACTGGGAACCACACTCAGGTGCTCTGTAAGAGTTGCTCTTAGCCACTGAGCCATCTCTCCAACCTCACCCTGCCAAACCGGGAAACGTTTGAGAGTGAAAGGGAACAAGACAGTGCTAAAAGAGATGGAGTTCTGAGGCAGTAGGGATGAATCAGGGTCGCTTTGAGCAAATCAAATAAGGCTATAAGATCACTATGGGACCAGCAGTGTGCTGGGCTAGCGCTGCCCCTTGCTCCAAGCCACCTCACGTGAACTTGACTGTTCAACATTCAAGGATTTGGACAACGCATTAGGTAGCCTGAAGCAGAGCACAGTGGGGACATTTACAGTGGGGACACGGGTCGATTCTGTTTACTGGACATTTCTGAAGAAGTCTCTGTATGATGAGTTTTGAGGAAGGGGTGGCATATGATTGGAAAGTAAATGGAAAGGTATTAAAGCTAAACCATTTTCTGCTCCTCTCTCCAACGCAAACCCTCTGCAGCCATCGCTCTGGCCATGAACCGAGATGGCTCTAGCGGGGGTGTCATCTACCTGGTCACCATCACAGCCACTGGTGTGGACCATCGAGTAATCCTGGGAGATGAGCTGCCAAAGTTCTACGATGAGTGACTTGTCCCTAGACTCCCCTGTCACAGAACCAGCGCTGGTGTCAAGGACAGAAAGTGGAATGGGCATCAGGAAGAAACAGTGTGGAGAGGGAATGTTCTTTCCCAACCCAGATATCAGCGTGCACTTTTCATTCTTTTTTTAAAATAAACTTTATTATTAAAAAACACTTGCAAATAAAAGTAAATAAAACATAAATAAATAAATGAAAACATCCAACACCAAAATTAACCAGATCCGAAGCCTTCACAACTCAGTGAACTTCTATACAGTTAGACTTGGAAGTCGAAACAGAAGCTGTGATAATACTTCATGTCAAATTTCACACCTTATCTTTCTTTATCCCCAAGCTAAAACATCTTCCCCAGAGAAAGGAGGTATCAGAGAGGTACTAGGAGAAAAACCCTCAAATATGAGAGGTTACTGTTTTTAATTTTTAAAGGTTTATTTACTTTTATTGCATGTGTGTGTGTGTGTTGATTTTTTTCTGCCTGAATGGGTGTAGATTCCTGCAGAGGCCAGAAGAAGGGCATTGGAAACCCTGGAGCTGGAGTTTAATTGCGAGCTGCCATGTGGGTACTGGGAACTGAACCTGGGTCCTCTGCAACAACAGCCAGGTACTTAGCCACTGAGCCATCTCTCCAGCCCCTGGATGGTTTTTTAAATATTGTAGACCAGGTGCTGGGGAGATGGCTCAGTCAATAAAGGACTGGATGAACAAAAGAGCCTGGGACCAGATTCCCAGCACCCACACAGAAGTTAGGCAGAGAGAGGGTCACCTGCCTGGGCCCTCAGTACTGGGGAGGCAGAAACAGACTCGTGGAACCCAATGGCCGACCAAATCATTAAGTTCCAGGTTCAGTGAGACCCTGTCTCAAAATGTAAGGTGGGCAGTGACTGAGGAAGTCACCTGTTATCGACCTCTGACCTTCACATGCGTACAAGATAAATAATTTTTTCAAATAATGCAAGCCATAAAAGTTTCTGCATGACCTTTGGGTGCAGTTCAAAGGTAAAGCTCACAGAAGAAAAGCTCACTCTGGGGCTCACAGATGAGGGTACAGAACCATTGTCCCTTGACGGGCAGTTGCCACTGGCCCCACAGAAACCAGGTTAAACACAGCTGCCAGTTCCTGTCTTTGCGTGGCCTGAGGCAGTGCCAAACATTCCCTTCATCCTGCTGATGTCGTGACCCTGAGGTGGTTTGCAACTCTAGTACTCTACTCAGTGTTGTTTTGCTAATAAACAACTAAATGAGCAAGCATAGTAAACTGAACCTCAGGCAGGGCAGAAGGCTGAGCACACAGAATCAAGGCCCTCTGAATGGTCCCAAGCGGGTGGTTGTGGTGGGAATGTCTAAAATCACAAAGCCCAGAATTGCTTCTAACCTTGCTGTTTAGTTTATTTTGAAATTGAGATGATAGTTTAAGAGCCTCTCTCTGGAGAACTCTGGGTAGGATTCAGAAAGCAAGAACTGAAAGTGGACAGTGAGCAGAGTCAGAACTCCCAGCCACACTGCATGGCTGCTCAGTGGCAGCCAGAAGGGAGTTCTCCCTAGGAGAGGAACCGAGAAGGGACTCTCCAAGCTCAGTTGGCCTTGAGCCCTGAAGCCTGTGACATGCCTGAGCCAGCACCACACAGACCCACAGAAACAAATGGAAATATAAACCTGTTCAAACTGGAAGGCTTCCTTTTGTTTCTAGCAGTCAAATATCTGTATTATTCCACCCTTCAAGAGTTTGAAACATCTACCAGAGGCAGGCGGTTTAAAAAGCAACTGAAACAAAGGGAAAACAGGGAAAATAGGAGTAGGAAAAATAAAGAAAGCCAAGGCTTTAACAAATATATAGCTGGGCAGTGGTGGCACATACCTTTAGTCCCAGCACTCAGGAGGCAGAGGTAGGCAGATTTCTGTAAGTTCAAGGCCAGCCTGGTCTACAAAGTGGTTTCCAGGACAACTAGAGCTGTTACATAGAAAAACCCTGCCTCGCAAAGCAAGCAAGCAAACAAACAAAAAATAAATAGACAACATAAATGTCAAGAAATAATATGGCCAGCCAGATGGCTCAGTGGGTTGCCAGGGCCAGGCTTGTATCAGTCCCACACTACAGAGGCTATTCCAGACTGGATGTCATTGGGGCTGTGATCAGAGCCAGCCGAATGGCCCCGGGGCCATCCCTGAGTGCCGGACTGGGAAACTCTTAGCTACCCGATGGTGATAAAGATGAGACACAGGCATCTTGTCGTCTCAGGAGGGCTCTCAGTCCATGCTGGAAACTGGAGTCTCTGGTTTATTCAAGCTTCCTCTTAATTAGCTTTCCACCAGTGGGGGTGATCGAAGAAGACAGCTACTCTCATGTATAAAACTGATATCAAACAATTCTTTTAATCCTAGAGACACCTCCAAACAGTCCCTAGGCACATAAACAAGCTCTCAGAACAGGTGTGGGTACACCCAGGGCCTAGGTCTGTTGTTATGCAAACTAGGAGACATTCTCCACTGAGGCCAAGCCATCCCATAGTAATTTAGCCAAGACAATGGGAGATTCAGGCTCCTGGAAATGGAGCGGAGGTTTGGACTCCAAGCTTTATAATTTTTGGGCCCCAACAGTGGGTTAGGTGCTTGTCACCAAACATAACCACCCAAGTTCTGTTCCCTGGACCCACATGGTCAAAGAGAATGCCGACTCCTTGAAGTTGTCCTCTGACCTCAGGGCACACATGAATCCTGCAAAATAAATAAATAAATAAACAGTGTTGAATTGGCTTGCACTGGTTGGCAGATCCATGTAAAATACTGAATAATTTTGAAAGGCAGTTGTTAAACACTGGCAACTTGATGTTAGCCGCAGTGGAAATGCCTATACTGTGGAGATGAAAAACATTACCAGTTGGGACTTTTTGAGTTCTCAAAGGGCTAATTTAACAGGACACAAATTTGTCACAAGTTATCAACAGGCAACATTTGACGCTGAATTACAAGGCAGTGGAAGCAAAGAAAGAAAAACAGGCAGAAGACTAATAAAATTCTGTCTTTAAATCTCCACCCCAAAGACCAAAAGCTATATTCAACTTTTAAAGCCACGAGAGACAGGAACTGAGTGGTTTGGGCGGGTACTAAAGCAATCCCTAGTCAATTTCAGAGGGCCAAATGTCTGCAAACTGTGTTCTGTAACAACCCTGAAAGAAAATTAGAACATGGCAACAAAATGGCACTTCCAATCCTCCTGCTTTGGAAACTAACAAGTACTGGGAACAGGGATTTAAGACAAAACCTCAAAAGAAACAACTTCTTGGGAACCGTCTGGTAAAAATGTTACATACTGAAAATGTTACATGTGAACAGTCTGGTAAAAATGTTACATACTGAAAATGTTACATGTGACCAGTCCTGGTGCTTAGAGGGGCAGAGCAAGCAGATCTCTGTGAGTTCAAAGGGATCAGGAATAGACTGGGAGACCCTGTCTCCACAGGGAAAAAAGGTTACATGTCCAGGAAAGCACAAGCTGTGGCTAGGAGGAGAAGCCGCGTCTACAGGAAGGAGGCAGTGAAAGGGGCAATGTGATGGAAGTACATTTTATACCTGTTTGTCCTAGTTAGGGTGACTATTGTGTAATGAAACGCGGCGACCAAAGCAACCTGGGGAAGAATGGGCTTATCTGGCTTACATGTCCCCATTGCTGTTTATCAGCCAATGAAGTCAGGACAGGATCTCACACAGGGCAGGAACCTGGAGGCAGGAGGGAGCTGATGCAGAGGCCATGGAGGGTGAGGTGTACTGGTTTGCTCCCCATAGCTTTTTCAGCCTGTGTTCTTATAGAACCCAGGACCACCAGCCCAGGGATGGAATCACCCACCATAGGCTGGGCCCTCCCCATCAATCACTAATTAAAAAAATTACTACAAAGCTAGGTGTTGATGGTGCATGCCTTTAATCCCAGCATTCGGGAGGCAGAGGCAGGGGGAATCTCTGTGAGTTCGAGACCAGCCTGGTCTACAAGAGCTAGTTCCAGGACAGGCTCCAAAGCCACAGAGAAACCCTGTCTCAGGAAAAAAAAAGGAAAGAAAGAAAGAAAGAAAGAAAGAAAGAAAGAAAGAAAGAAAGAAAGAAAATTACTACAGACTTGCCTACAGTCTGACCTTATGGGGTCATTTTCTTATGTCATCCTCTCAAAATGACTTTAACTATGTCAAATTGGTACAAAACTATCTAGCACAATACTTACATTAAAATGTCTTTATGAGACCCAGTGCTATGTACAATAAAAAATTCACATGTCAAATTTTGCAGGATGTAGCTAAATCTGTGCTTTGAAAGAATTGTATCCCTTCAAATGCATTTATTTGAGCTCTCAAGATGGCTCAGTGGGTAACAGCACTTGCTGACCAAGCCTGATCATGAGTTTGATTCCTGGATCCTACTGAAAGTTGTCCTCCGACCTCTGCACACGCACCGAATCACGCGCAGTGCATGGGCTAGCACATGCATGCACATACATGCTCACATACACACACCATCGTCATGAATGCAAATAAATAACTGTAAGAGAAAATACATATTTATTATAACAAGAAAAAATAGAAGTAAATGACATAAAAATTCCCAGAAGTCTGAGAAAGATCTGGGGCTGGTGGCACACGCCTTTAATCCCAGCACTTGGGAGACTGAGGCAGGTGAGTTCAAGGCTAGCCTGGTCTGCACAGTGAGTTCTAGACTAGCCAAGGTTACGTAGTCAGACCTTGTCTCATAAAACAAAACAAACACCTGGGAATGGTGCTGGTCAGAGGACTCTGCAGTTAAAAGTCTTCCAGCTCCCACAGACGACTCTGGCTTGGTCCCAGCACCCAAATGGAGGCTCACAACCATCTGTGACTCCAGTCCCGGGGACCTGGCACTCTCTTTGACCTCCTGAGGCACTGCACGCACATATACTCACATAAAGTGAATGAATCATTTTTTAAATGATCACATACTGCTCTTACCAAGGGAGTTCAGTTGCCAGGACCACACCGGCAGCTCATGGCTGCTTGTAATGCCAGCCCTTTACTGGATCTGTTGTCTTTACATTGTGAAGTAGACCCAGTGATGGGATTTGTCTACCTTTGGGAAGACTTTTTCCTGTCATCTTGCATAAGTCCGTAAGTTACAGCATGTTTCATTCCAGTAGGAACTCTGGGGGGGGGCCAAAATAAAAAAAAAAAAAAAAAAAAAAAAAAAAAAAAAAAAAAACTTCCAAATGACCTTGCAGGGCAAAACCATCTCAGGACAAGCAGAGACAGTGGAAGAAGAGGAGCTCTGCCAAAACCAAACACCTGTATATGTTAGCCCAGCAACTTTAGTCTAGGATACAATGAATTCTGTGCTCAGTTCATTTCTCCTTAATTTTTAAGATTTATTTTATGTTAAATTGTGTGTATATTTGTATCTGCATGTGAGTGCAGATGGCTGCCAAATCCAGAAGACGGTTTTTTATATAGTCCAGGACCCCATCCCAGGGAATGGTGTCACCCACTGTAGACAGATCGTCCTGGTTTAATTAATCTTCTCAAAATAACCCCCCAGGCATGCCTAGAGGCCTGTCTCCCAGGTGATGCTAGTTCTCATCAAGTTGGCAATTGACCCACCTTTATACGAACATCTAGGCCATTATTACCTAAATAAGTGGATGCCATAGCCCAGACAAACTGAGCCCAGATTAGCTATCACAGAGCTCTGATGAAACTACAGGATAAACATGACTTAGGCAAAGGGAAGAACTGAGCTGAGTGTTACCAGCTGGAGTGGATGAGACAGCATGGATGAGACAGAAACCACGCCAATGTTGAGCGACCAGGCTGAGCTTTTTGTCCCAACCTTTGGCTGCTTCTGACCACCCTGGGAAGCACACAGAGGACAAGGAACAAGAGTGAAATTCTTCATCTGAACTGGACATGAATGAAAGGTTTCTGCGACCATCTTTATTAAAAGACTTACTTTTAATTGTGTTTCTGGTGTGATCAGAAGAGGGTGCCGGGTCTCCTGGAGCCAGAGTAACAGGCAGTTGTGAGCCACCCAGTGTGGGTGCTCAGACCAAACCCAGGTCCTCTGGAGAAGCAGTATCTGCCTTCCACTGCTGAGCCATCTCTGCAACCCCCTTTACAGACATCCTACATCCTAAAACCAGCGCAGACGTGCAGGGGGACAAGTCTTCTGTCAGATGCTGAGGGCTGTGACGATACAAAGCCTGTGACTGGATAACTCTACAGTGACAACCATGAGTCACCATGAGTCACCATGCCCCTGGGCAGAAAGAGACCCCGTGTGACGGCTGGGATGCAGCATTGAGAGATGATTGCCTCATAAGCAGCCATACTCATTTCCCCCTAATCAATAGCTAATCCATCAATAGACTCACAATTTCATCATTATTCAAAAGCAGGAGTCTTATCAGAGAGAGTAGGTCACAGGGTCATGCCTTGGAAGGGTCCATCTTGCCCCCACGCCCTTCCCGTCTATCTCTTCCTCCTGGCTGCCATGATGGGAGCAGTTTTGCCCTAACGTGTCCTCCACACCGTGATGCCCTGTCTCACCTCGTGCGGAGAGCCATGGTTGGACTTAAGCTGGAAGCTCTCAAACTGTGAGCTGAAATAAACCTATCCTCTCTCTGTTCATCAGAGACATTTCCCCTCAGAGCAGAAATCCAATGCACCCTGATTTTGGTTGTTGCTAGGTAACCATGATGTCCAAATAGCATCTTAATATGGCATGCATTTGCCACTGGGCACTTTGGGGACATTCTAATGTAGACTGCGTCCATCTTAACCATCCAGGAGGAGGTGACAATATGATGGCTATGCAGGATAACTGTCCCAGTTCTTAAAATATACGTGACAAAGTATTCAGGGGTGAAATATCAGACTGATCACCTCACAGGCTGCTCGCAAATAGTTTCACAAAATAGTTGCTTAACGGTAAATGGGTAACGAAATGTTGCTTATCCAATAGTGTGGAAGCAATGGAAGTCACTGGATGGCAACACATGGATGAATCTCAGAGAAATGACACTGAGTGAAGCAGCCCCATAAAAGAATTCACAGTAGAGCCGGGCGTTGGGGCCCCACCTTGAGTCCCAGCACTCAGGAGGCAGAGGCAGGTGAAGCTCTGAGTGTGAGGCCAGCCTGGTCTCCAGAGAGTGTTCCAGGACAGCCAGAGTTTCACAGGGAAACCAGAAAGAAAGAAAGAAAGAAAGAAAGAAAGAAAGAAAGAAAGAAAGAAGCTCGCTCACACTCTACTTCCCCACTGCCTATCTGTGCCAGCAAACCATCCCAAAACTTAGGGAGCAAAAGCAGCCATTTTATCCGACGTGATGAGCTGTGAGCCACCTGGGTCCTAAGAGCCACTGTCATAGCCCATGAAGCCATGAAGCAAAGCTCTCATTGACAGCTGCCACCTCAAAGCATCCAGGGCATGGACACTGATTGATTACATTGATTCAGATGCGGAGATGTCAGGGTGCTGTGGAATTCCCCTGCTTCATAAGTCCCGCCTTCTTAGAAATAAAAAAACCCTCACTTCCCCCCCCTTCACCTTTGCTGAAGTTGGGGCACAAATGCAGGAACCGAGTCCTGTCAATCAGAGCTGTGCACCTGACACTTCAACTCGAAAGAGCGACATAGGAAGAGAGAGCCATCACCCTGTTGCTCATTTAACAGGCAAAGGGCAGTGGGAAGGAGAAGGAGCAGCTGGCTTTGGGGAAGTAGAAGTAGGGAAGTCCCTGCTGCACAAGTGGCCCCTCAGGCAGGTTAGGCAAATTCACTGAAGCCAGTTCCTCTCCACAGGACAGACAGCAACTGGGGTGGGGGTGGGGTGAGAGGCGGGGTTGGGGTGTATGGTTCCAAATATTTCCCTTTACCTGAACAAGAAGAGCCCCCCATATATCAATCCTCATTTCCTGTTGAAAAGCCAAATCCAGCCAGGCCGGGGGTGCACACCTGCAAACCCAGCAGGCAGAGGCCGAGGCAGGAAGAGTAGAACTGTGGGGCCAGCCTGGGCTACAGAGAGAGAGATCCTGTCTCAAACAGAGATAGAGCATGGAGATGGAAGAGGAGAGGAAGAAAAGAGAGCAAGCAAGGAAGAAGGGAAAGTTGAGGAGGGCGAGAGGGGCCTGGGGAGACACCCAGCAGTTTAGAGAACACATTGTTCTTACAGAGGACCAGAGCTGGGGTCCAACACCCACATTAAGACGCTCACAGCCACCGTAAGTTCAGCTCCAGGGGGGGTCTGATGCCCTCTTCTGGCCTCTGTGGTCACTGCGCTCACACACACATACACAGAAGCACACGTACAAATAAAAATAAAATTGACTCTCTAAAAATATATTTCTCAAAAGTGTCCCAGTTCAGCTTAAACCATTGTGGTGGTTTCAGTGAAATGGCCCCCAATGGCTCATATATTTTACTGCTTTGTCTCCAGTTGGAGGAGCTGTTTGGGAAGGATTGGGAGGTGTGGCCTTGGAGGAAGAGTGTTACAGGGGATGGCTTTGAGGTTTCAAAAGCCCAAGCCAGTTAGCTCTCCCCACCTCACCTCTGCCTCCGGCTTGTGAATCAGATGTGAGCTCTCAGCCACTGCTCCAGAGCCACGCCAGCTTGCCTGTGGCCACAATCCCTGCTAGGACCCACCCTCTGAATAAACTCTTCCTTCTGTAAGTTGCCTTGGTCACAGTGCTTTGCCATAGCAATTGAAAAGTAATTAAGATGTGCATCCATCATTTCTTTTGTCTTCCTTGTTTTAAGATTCAGACAAAGTGAGGCTTGGTGGCACACACCTGTAATCTTAACATTTGGGAAAGTAAAGCAGGGAGATTTTGAGTTCAAGACTAGCCTGGATACCAGGCATGGTGGCATGGTGGCATGGTGGCACTTTTAATCCCAGCACTCAGGAGGCAGAGGCAGGATGAGCTCTGTGAGTTCAAAGTCAGCCTGTTCTCAGAGCCAGCTCCAGAATAGCCAGGACTTCATAGAGAGAGGCCCTGTTTCAAAAACAAAAGCCAAAAAAAGGAGTCTGGGCTACAAAAACCTAACAAAAGAAAATATATTCAGAAGAATTTTAAGGACTTTTGAATTTTACAGGTATGAGTGTTTTGCCTGCATGTATGTGCATCGTGTGTGTGTGTGTGTGTGGTGTGTGTGTGTGTGTGTGTATGTGGTGTGTGTGTGTGGTGTGTGTGTGGTGTGGTGTGTGTGTGTGTTGTGTGGTGCTTGTGTGGTGTGTGTGTTTGTGTGGTGTGTGTGTGTGGTGCTTGTTTGTGGTGTGGTGTGTGTGTGTGTGTGTGTGTTGTGTGGTGCTTGTGTGGTGTGTGTGTGGTGTGTGGTGCTTGTGTGTGGTGTGGTGTGTGTGTGGTGTGGTGTGTGTGTGTTGTGTGGTGCTTGTGTGTGGTGTGGTATGTGTGTGTGTGTGTGTGTGTGGTGCTTGTGTGTGTGTGTGTGTGTGTGTTTGTGTGTGGTGCTTGTGTGTGGTGTGGTGTGTGTGTGTGGTGCTTGTGTGTGGTGTGGTGTGTGTGTGTGTGTGTTGTGTGGTGCTTGTGTGGTGTGTGTGTGGTGTGTGGTGGTGGTGTGTGTGTGGTGCTTGTGTGTGGTGGGGTGTGTGTGTGTGTGTGTGGTGTGGTGTGTGTGTGTGTGTGTGGTGCTTGTGTGTGGTGTGGTGTGTGTGTTGTGAGGTGCTTGAGTGTGTGTTGTGTGTGTGTTGTGGGATGTGTGTGTGGTGTGTGTATATGGTGTGGGGTGTATGTATGGGGTGTGGGGGT